ATATATATCATATGTACACTCACACATATATACATATGTGTGTGTGTATCTGTATATAAATGTATGTATGGATTTGTGTGAATATATATGCATAAATATGTAAGTGTGTGTGTGTGTATGTGTGTGTGTGTGTGTGTGTGTGTGTGTGTGTGTGTGTGTGTGTGTGTGTATGTGTGTGTGTGTGTGTGTGTGTGTGTGTGTGTGTGTGTATGTGTGTGAGCGTGCGTACGCACTGAAAGATGACTACACATAAAATACTCTCGAAAGAGATTGCCATATCAATAAGATATTTCTCTAACAACATATCTTTATGAAGCACGAAAAAAAAACAGCAACTTTATAATGAAACAAAGAATAAATCCCTGGGATTATTTCCGAGATTTAGCAAGGGGAAAAAATCCGTTTACTGCTGGAGATACCGCCCTCTGGAATGACTCAAGCATCAGATAAGAGCTCGCCTGTTAAAAAGAAAAAGAAAAAAAATGATAAAAAAGGTTCCTGTTTCATTACTTGTTATTTTTCCCTCTTTTTTTTTCGTAATTTCATATCCGTTCCGAGTAGATGTTAATTATGAAGGCGTGTTACATTTTTCACATGATAGGAATAAGAAATTATAATTTGGGGGGGGGGGATATATTCTTCTTCCGTTCTTTCCCTTCTCCTGTTATCTCACTTTTAATGACAAGTCTGATTTTTTTATCTTTGGTCACGGAGACACACAGGACATGGCATGCATCATAAAATCATGGAATCGTAAAAAATATATTTGAAATCACGAAGTATAATTCATATGAAAGAACTTTCTTTATACACTATCCCTATCACACACACACACACACACACACACACACACATATACTATATATATATATATATATATATATGTGTGTGTGTGTGTGTGTGTGTGTGTGTGTGTGTATGTGTGTGTGTGTGTGTGTGTGTATGTATATGAAAATGTATGTGTGTGTGTATGTGCGTGTGTTTGTGTGTATATATATGTATATGTATGTGTATGTGTGTGTGTGTGTGTGTGTGTGTGCATGTGCTTATGTGAGTGTGTGTGTGGATTTAGAAGCTATGCTTTAAGATTGTACTTAAAACTTTACCATATATAGAAACCTAAACTTTACTCTCTTCAAAAATCCAAACTTTACATTCATACTCAAACTCTACACTGTACACCCGTCAAAACTTCACTCTACACTCAAAATTTACTCGAACCCAAACATTCCTCGGTAAACTAACTCAAACTTTACTCTACACTCAAAATTTCTTCTCTTACAAATGTAAACTTTTCACACAAACTTTACTCCACACGCCAACCCAAACTTTATTCTACACTCACTCAAATGTGACTCTACACCCAAATTTTACTCTACACTCAAACTTTATTCCCCTAGAAATCTTAACTTTACACACAAACTCAAACTTTACTCCACACACCAACCCAAACGCAACTATAGACAAACCGAAGACTTATAAACAACCTCTTCTTTTACTTTCCACAGGGACAACACAACAGGGGATTTGTGTACCGAACTAAACGGTTTACCAACAGCCACTTGCCGGTTCGATCCTGATGCTAACCAAGTGGCTAATTCTTCATTGATGTCTTATTACTATCTGAGTTCGGTAAGTTGTTGTTTTTTTGCATTTGTTTTGTCTTTGTTTTGATGTTGTTGTAGTAGTGATTTGGATTGTGTGTTTGTGTGTGTGTGTTTGTGTGTGTGTGTGTGTGTGTGTGTGTGTGTGTGTGTGTGTGTGTGTGTGTGTGTGTGTGTGTGTGTGTGTGTGTGTGTGTGTGTGTGTGTGTGTGTGTGTGTGTGTGTGTGTGTGTGTGTGTGTGTGTGTGTGTGTGTGTGTGTGTGTGTGTGTGTGTGTGTGTGTGTGTGTGTGTGTGTGTGTGTGTGTATGTGTGTGTGGTTTTAATGGAAGTGGGTATGCTTTTTAAAATTGAAGGGTGTAACGGAATTACTATTATATCAAAATGTTTTGGGAATACGTGTCTACACATATACATATAAATACGTACATACACATATATACACATACACACATACGAGCACACACACACACACACACACACACACACACACACACACACACACACACACACACACACACACACACACACACACACACACACACACACACACACGGATAAGAGTAAGAGGCGATACCAAGAATATCAAATACACATACAGAAAGACGAAAAAAGACGGAAAGTGCGAAGGAAATTGTGAAACTTTAACGTAATACAACGGTTCGTGCGTCACTGCCAACAAAGACAAAAAAAAAAAAAAAAGGAAAGAAAAAGGAAAAGGAAAGAAAAGAAAAATCCACGATACGGAACTTTGGCTCTCTTTGCTAGACGAAAAATATTAATCGTCTCTGTCCCTTATTCCTGTTTCTTCAAAATAAATGAGGAAATAAAATAACAAAACTAACGAGTTAAATAATCAGTATTGATGAATATGTAACTAAACAAATGACTCTTGGATAAAAAAAAGTACGAATAAGAATGAACAACTTCACTACAAAAAAATAATGTATTCGACACACTTCGAAAAAAGGCTTCGAAACCCGCCCAGATTATACCCCCACACGCTGTGAAATTTACCCATTCTCCTTCACTAGTCTTATTATTATTATCTTTCCACATTTGTCCCAGCGATCCTTATCCAGCCTAACGTCGAAACGTCCTTACAGATCGAGGAATTTTGCGACAACACCGCCAGGACCCCTCACGTCGCCGACGCCCCCAACAGACACAATGATAAGTGTGGTCGAAGCTCCGTTTGGGAAGTTATCGAGTCCCACGCAGATTTCACCGCCGGAGCGTAAGTTTTACAGCGAGGCTTTCATAAAGGATACTATGCTGTACACTTCAGGTCTTGTGTACGAGATGTGGGTGTTCGGTCTGTGTGGTTTGGCAGACCCGTTATTCGTGTGGTAAAGAAAACCCATCAATACATATACTCATGACCAAAAAACATCTGGATTGTTATGAAATGTTTTTTTCGCTGACAGTAAATTGTTGCAAGCACTTTTGATGCAAGTGAATGCCCTTATATTATGAACTGTATTCATGTTGACAAATGTATAAAAAGTGTGAATGAGAATGAATATCTTCACAACCCAAGAGATGTGTTTCGATTATATCTTCGAAACCGCTCAAATACATCTCTTGTATTGGGAAGATATTCATTCTCATTCAGCCCATATATTAATGCTAAACCACCACGATAACCAGTATTAGCTTGGCGTAAACCTGGTCATTTTAAACAGAAAATAAAATGAACGGAGGTATTACCAGATGGATACAAACATAACAAAGTATCATAACAAAGACCTCCTCCCTCAGGAACCCTCCAGTGAGCAGCTCCACGCCCACGAGATTCACTGTGGTACGTCAGGAGGAAGCTAAGTTTGCCCTCGTCCTGGACTACTCGGGCAGCATGGCCAGCTACGACAGGATACTGAAGTTACAGTTGGCTGCCCGTCGGTGGATACTTCACGAGGTGTCCATGGGAAGTTCTGTGGCCATTATCAAGTTCACGTAAGTGTCCGTGCACGTGTGTTTGAGTCCTCGTCGTTTTAAGGTGTTCAAGTTTACACCAAGCTAAAGAGAAGCGAGTAAGGAAAAAAAAGAAGAAAAATAAATGAAATTAATGAGATGAAAGTGTTTTTTTTTTTTTTTTTTTTTTTTATGCGCTCTAAGAAAAGATAAATAATTCCACTATATACCGCATTACTGCTTAATATACCGTCTTTCGCATACGTCTACACACGTACACACACACACACACACACACACACACACACACACACACACACACACACACACACACACACACACACACACACACACACACACCCCATCTCCCCTTTTTCCCCCCATAGGAGCACAGCCACGTTGGTTGCAGGACTCACCACCATCAACAATGACGCAACACGCCAGTCCCTTGCACAGATGATCGACAGCACGGCAGGAGGAGGAACCTGCATTGGCTGTGGACTTCAGATGGCGATTGGGAGCGTAAGTGGAGTGTTTGGTGTCGTGCCCTGTGTCATTTTCTGTGTCTCGTTATGTGTCATTTTCTTTGTCTCGTTATGTGTCATTTTCTGTGTCTCGTTATGTGTCATTTTCTGTGTCTCGTTATGTGTCATTTTTTGTGTCTCGTTATGTGTCATTTTCTTTGTCTCGTTATGTGTCATTGTCTGTGTCTCGTTATGTGTCATTTTCTGTGTCTCGTTATGTGTCATTTTTTGTGTCTCGTTATGTGTCATTTTCTGTGTCTCGTTATGTGTCATTTTTTGTGTCTCGTTATGTGTCATTTTCTGTATCTCGTTATGTGTCATTTTCTATCTCGTTATGTCCTTTTCTGTGTATCGTTATGTCATTTTCTGTGTCCCGTTATGTGTCATTTTCCCCTGTTTTATTTGGTGTCTCATTTGGTGTTAAGTTCTGAGTCTTTTTGAGTGTCGCTTTCTGTGTCTTACTGGGTGTCATTTCCTGTGTCATGTTCACTGTCTGATTTGGGCTCTTGGTCTGCGTCGTATTTGGTGTCATGTTCTGTGACATATCTAGTCATGCTCAGTACCTCATTTAACGTCATATAATGTAATTAATCTAGTGTCATGTTCAGCATTTTATGTGGTGTCATGTTCAGTACGTAATCGACTATCATATTCCGTACCTTACCTAGAGTCATCATTATCATATTTTTAATGTTATCATAGATTGATTAGATAGATTTAAATTTTTGCGAATATGAGAAGAAGAAAGAGAAGAAATGAGATGATAACAGGGATAATAATGATAATGGTGATGATATTCATAATAATTATAATTATGGCATTAATCATAATTATGATAATAATAATGATAGTAATAATGAGGATGATGTTAATGATAATAGTAATGATGAAAATTATAATTATGAAAATAATGATAATGAAAATGATGATAATGATAATGATAATATTAATAGGAACAACAACAAAAACAAAACAATAACAATAAAGATAAGAATGATCATCATTATCACCATCCTCATCACCACCAACAACATTACCATTACCATCACCATCACCACCCTCCTCACCACCACCACTGACTCACCATCCTCACCACCCTCCTCACCACCACCACTGACTCACCATCCTCACCACCACCACTGACTCACCACCCTCCTCACCACCACCACTGACTCACCATCCTCACCACCCTCCTCACCACCACCACTGACTCACCATCCTCACCACCACCACTGACTCACCATCCTCACCACCACCACTGACTCACCATCCTCCTCACCACCACCACTGACTCACTATCCTCACCACCCTCCTCACCACCACCACTGACTCACTATCCTCACCACCCTCCTCACCACCACCACTGACTCACTATCCTCACCACCCTCCTCACCACCACCACTGACTCACTATCCTCACCACCCTCCTCACCACCACCACTGACTCACTATCCTCACCACCCTCCTCACCACCACCACTGACTCACTATCCTCACCACCCTCCTCACCACCACCACTGACTCACTATCCTCACCACCCTCCTCACCACCACCACTGACTCACTATCCTCACCACCCTCCTCACCACCACCACTGACTCACTATCCTCACCACCCTCCTCACCACCACCACTGACTCACTATCCTCACCACCCTCCTCACCACCACCACTGACTCACTATCCTCACCACCCTCCTCACCACCACCACTGACTCACTATCCTCACCACCCTCCTCACCACCACCACTGACTCACTATCCTCACCACCCTCCTCACCACCACCACTGACTCACTATCCTCACCACCCTCCTCACCACCACCACTGACTCACTATCCTCACCACCCTCCTCACCACCACCACTGACTCACTATCCTCACCACCCTCCTCACCACCACCACTGACTCACCATCCTCACCACCCTCCTCACCACCACCACTGACTCACTATCCTCACCACCCTCCTCACCACCACCACTGACTCACTATCCTCACCACCCTCCTCACCACCACCACTGACTCACCATCCTCACCACCCTCCTCACCACCACCACTGACTCACCACACCTTCCTCGCAGGTGTTGAACGGCCAGAGGAATGCGGTGATTCTCCTCATCACAGACGGTCAAGAAAACCCGACGCCGCCGCGGATGAGTGACGTCATGAATGATGTCATTGCTTCGGGCGCGAGAGTGGTTACCATCGCCTTCGGGTAAGAGGGAAGGGAGGGGTAGATGTTATTGTTGTTGTTGTCGTTGTTATTGATGTTGTTGTTGGTGGTGGTGGTGTTGGTGGTGGTGCTGATGTTGTTGTTATTGTTGTTGTTGGTGTTGTTGTTGTTATTGTTGGTGTTGTTATTGTTGTTGGTGGTGTTGTTGTTGGTGCTGTTGTTGGTGTTGTTGTTATTGTTGGTGTTGTTGTTGGTGGTGGTGGTGGCGTGGTTATTGCTATAATCAATACTAATATCATTATTTTCTGTTGTTGTTTTTTTCTTATCAGTATTACTATTATTAGTTTTTATGATAGTATCATTATTATCATTATTATTATTAATATTATAGTTGTTGTTTTGTTGGTCAAAATTCTTCCCATCTAACCCACGCCCCTCCCCCCCCCTTTCTCCCCCACTCAAAAGGGAAAGCGCGGACCCGAATCTCGAACTGCTGGCCAAGAACACGAACGGAAAAACTTTTACGGTCAAGGACACGGACAACGGCAATCAGCTGAATGATGCTTTTCTTGGCGCTCTTACCTACCAGCCGGGAGAGGTCTTGGCGGAGGCTCTCATTAAGGTAAGAGAGACAGACAGACACACACACACACACACACACACACACACACACACACACACACACACACACACACACACACACACACACACACACACACACACACACACACAAACACACACACACACACACACACACACACACACACACACACACATAAACACACACACACACACACACCACACATATATATATAAATGATTTATTCATTTATTTATATGAATGTAGAGGAGTCTTTAAGTACCTAGGAGACACACACATACAGACATACAAGCACTTAGCCTTCACCACGCTGATCTTTCGCCACGTTTCCAAACCTCTCTCCAGATCTACGAGACTGACTACCAAGGCACCAACACGGTCTTCACGGAGCAGTTCACAGTAGATGCCTCTCTGGGTCGTGACCTGACCTTCAAGCTGGAGACCAACACGCCCACGCACGTCGTCAGCCGCCCTTACCTCCTGCGTCCGGATGGCACTAAGGTCGACATTGCCACCTTCGACAGTACCTCAAACACGTATACTATTACGGAAGCAATGGCCGATGTGAGTGGGCGTTATTTTGTGATTAAAAAAAAAGAGGGAAGAGGGGAGGGATTGAGAGAAAGGAGAAAGGGAAAGAGGGAAAGAGGGAGGAAGAATAGAGAGATGAGGGAGGAGGGAAAGAGGGAAAGGG